TTTTTTTGGGGGGGGGGTCCTTAATATAAATCTAGTATAAAGGGCCCCAAGACCCTATTCTAATTATTAAGGCCCCTATACTAGGGGTTGGGGGTTTAGGGTTTAGGGTTACCTCATACCCGGTGCAAGGTTTAGGGGCTGGGGGGCAGGGGTTGGAGTTGCTGAGTTCCTATCAGGTGCAGTGCCTTGTGATAGCTATAGTATATTTCTAAATGGGGAGCAATACCACTCCATATGGTTGTAGTATAATTTATAATATACCGCCCCCCCTTACCCCAGAATTATGTTCTGATTATTCGGGCCTTTGCCATAGGCTTTTTGAGGTTTCGCGGTTTACATGGCTGTCGAGGCAGTCATGAGCATGAGTTCCTGCCTCTGAAGGCTTCGTCTTTCCCTTCTGCACAACTTGTCTCCTCCGCTCCGGGCCTCTTTTGGAGGGGCCATTTACAATCCCATCATTCTCCAAGCCTTCTGCAAGGCCCAAAGCCTAAAGCCTTCCCGGCCCTAAACTCTAAGCCCTGTGATGCGTAAGTCCTAAAGCCTAAAACTGAAACCTTTTAGCTGAAAACTCGGAACCCAGGCCGCCTCGTCTTGACAGCAGAAGGCTTCAAGTGTGACAGAGACAACAAGGGCTTAACTGGCAGCCCAAGCAAGCGCTTCAGCTCTTGCCTCAAGCTGCAATCCTTGGCCGTTAGTCAAGCCTTGCAATGGGCTGTTCTGCAGCCTCTTGAAAAATAGGCTTAACATCCACGCGAAAACGCAGTTAGGTCCCGAGTTTACTTCAGCCGTTCTCGCACCTGCCTAGACTGCAATTTTGCCTGAAATTGCGCTCTCGATGTGGTTTCGCGCGAATCCATGTAGAACTCCTCATTCTGAAATGTGTAAAACTCATAGGCGCGTACAGGACCCACAACCTTCTTTTAGGGGCCGGGGGGGGCCTCGGACTTTAAAGCAGGTGAACGCTAAGCTTTAAACCGGAAACCTTGAGAACCCTGAACCATGCACCCAAAACTAAACCGCTGTCACACCTGCGCTCCGCACACGATGGACGGGCACAGGAGGTTTAGGGTTTAGGGTAGAAGCTTGGGTTGATTGAGGATTTGAGGCTTCAAATTTTCACAGGTGCTGGGCCTTGGGCCCTAAACCCTAAATCCTACACCCTAAAACCCTAAAACCCTAAACCCAAAGACCCTAAACCCTAAAACCCTAAACCCTCAACTCTAAACCCTAAACCCTAACCTGAAAGGTGGGAAGTCTTACTACTCCGGTAAAGTCTCGTATTCTCCTGCACTGCCAACTTGAGAACTCGAGGCCCGGAATTTCCCCCACCTACCCCAACCACGTGTTGCCGGTTTAGGGTTTAGGGTTTAGGATTTAGCGTTTAGGGTTTACGGTTTTAGGGTTTGGGGTTTAGGATTTAGGGTTTAGGGTTTAGGGTTTAGGGTTTTAGGGTTTTAGGGTTTAGGGTTGAGGGTTAAGGTTTAGGGTTCTGCAACCCTGAGCCCACTGTCAGCCCAAAACTGATACCAACCCGGATATACGAGCTTGTGACACCCTCCCTGGGGCGAGGTCGTTCCGCAAAGGTGGCATGACTGAAACTGCTTTCTTGCAGGGCTTGGGGCGGGTTCCTTATATTTTATGACCTTCGATTTTCGGGCCCCGACTCTTAGTAGATGTATCATTTATTGTATAATGTCTCTCGTGTTTGGGGGTAGGCTATAGTGTATTTATTTTTCATAAAAAGTGTACATGCATATACATATAGTATATTATATATAATGTTATATCTATAATGGTATATATATATATATAAAATGTATATATATATATATATGTATATGCCTTCTCTCTCCATATATAGGTATGTAGACGTTTATCTTGGTGTTTGCTTGTTTGTTTGTTTGTTTGTTTGCTTGTTTGTTTGTTTGTGTGTTTGCGCGTGTGTGAGTGTTTTGTTTGCTTGTTTGTGTGTTTGCTTGCATGTATGTGTAAAAATTTATGTGTATATTTATATGTGTACATATACAGGGGCTGTCATTGGTAATTCTTCAGACCCTATATGACCCTGAGTCTTGAAAGACAAACTTTACAGGCCCCAGCTGGGGCGGTCGAGTCGAGTGCAGAGCCGTCGAGGGTTGCTCGTAGGAGTTTAAAGTGGGTTGAGGGTCCAGGGTTTAGGGTTTAGAGGCACTAAACCCTAACTCTAAGCCGTTCTAGGGTTTCTCACAAGATTGATACAGAGACTTGTAGCGATGTATCCTTGATTGGGATTCCGGAACTGTGCAACCACGGAGTGAGACCAGAGGCAGCAGCATCCCCTTTTTGAAGAGCAGCTGCACCTGGAGCTAATATAGGGGCCTTAATACTTAGAATAGGGTTTGGGGTATATTATACGATAAGTATAATAAGGAGCCCCAAAAAACCCTATTCTCATTGCGGCCCCTACCTTACACCCTATTATAAACCCTAAACCCCAAGCGATCTGGTTTGGCTTCGGAGG